GTCGCAAATCTTTTTCCATTAAAGGTACAAATCAAGAAAGAACACTTCCATATAAAAGTGCACCTATGAATCCAACTTGAATAAATCCATCAAGGTATTGAAAAGAATGTAACTTTAAATAGAGCTTGACTTATTGCACAAATCCTTAAAATTTTGATCTTGTTCCATCGAACTTATTCAGCATATTAATCCGTGTCCTTATCGTATTTATAGAAACAAAACTTCTTAGATTTGATTGTGAGGTCAATTTATTTGCTTCTTTCAAGTGCATAACTTCTTGTCATAGATTCTGAAGTTCTTCCATAGACATACAATTAGTATTTTTATAGTTGATACTCATGATGTATAAAATTTCCACTCTAAGAGTATTGACAAGTTTGTAAAGATCTGTAATAATTCTAAATCTATTCTCACTTTCACCAAGTATAGTATCCATGATTTTTTCTTCTATTTTAAATAACTTAGTAAATCCACAAGTCAAATTAGAGGAGGGTAGTCCATAACCTCTTATATTGAATGAAAATTTCTACAAAGAAGGATAATTAGCTCTCTTTAAGGAAAAAAAAATTAATATTAGAAAATTAAATAATTTATTTAAAGATGAATAATTTTTAACCTTTAAAATACAGTAATAGAAGAAGAATAATTGACTCACTTTTAAAACAAGAGAAGAACAAAAAATTAGCACTCTTGTCAAACTATCAAGGACATGAACCTCAAAAAATTAAAATATCAATATATTCCTGTGACACTTGAAAAGTCTAAAAATCACTCAAAGATGATATAATATTAAACTAGAATGGTTATTGCTACACACAAGAAGACTAGAAAGTCTTGAATCAAGACTAAAGACTAAAAAGGTATTGAGAAGAGTGAAGAAGGCTTCACTCTTACCTCCATATATACTCTTAACTAGGAGCTACATAGTATTATCCTATAAGACCTCCAAAATGTGTTGACTTTGAAAGACACATATCTTAACTTATAAGACAAGTTTTTTATATATGCGCCACATAGTTACCTTGATTCGCAAGCTATCAACATGCAGTTAATTCATTGATCAAGTTTCTATCCTACCAATCAACTACAAATACATGTAAAGTCAAAGCAACATCCATGAAGCTTCTAAAAAGCTTTTCTAGAAAATATTATGAAATAAATCTACTTTCATCTACTTCTACTTAATCATATAGATAAATATCATAGTAAATATGTATGTCTATGACAGGATACAACCTTAGATTGCTAATAGTCAAAAGATTGGATCTTGGAAGGTAAAAAGACCTACCTATGGATAAGCCATAAGATTAGAGGTGAAGAAATAAGATCAAAAAAATAAAGAATCTACAAGAAAATATTCAAAGATTATAAAAAAAATATAAGCATATACAATGAAATATCTTTATAGTAGATGAAATGCCAAAAGTTCCTAAAAACATAAAATATATACTAAGGCATATCTTTGAAATATGTGAAATTCTAAAGGATATATTTGATATATATATATTGATGAATGTAGAAGTTAAAAGATAGAAGTTTTCTTCTAGGACAACAACAACTACCTATAAGTAATGAGTGTTAGAAGTAAGAGTCATCTTATTCCATACTTCTCTTTATGTGCAAACTTACTAATTCTATGTGTTGAAATTATGTTTCTTCAATATCAATAAGGTTTAGATATTTTTAAGTCTTTCAATTTTAGTAAAAAAATTATTATAAATAATATTTATTGCCATAATAATTCTAAATATAATTCATAATACTTTTGATCAATAATCATCTTATATGAAAATAAAATATTCTATTAATATAATTTTTTAGCTTCAAAGTACTTTTAATTTTTTATTTAATTAAATTTCTTTTTTTATATTGAATTAAAAAAATAGAATTTTAATATATTATTATTTTTAATTAATTAATTATCACTTTATTGTGTTAAATAAACCAAATTAATATAATGTCTATTAAAGCTTATACTTTAAGGCACATTATTTTAGTTAAATTAAACTTATATGTAATATTCTACTTTCTTTGTGAAAAGTCAAATTATGAATAAGTTGTGGCAACTGTAAAAGTTCTCTTCTAAGTTTCAAAATACAAGTTATTACCTATTTCCACAATTTCTAATATTAAATAATTAATAGAATGAAAAAGAATCTATTTGAATAAAAATATATTTTTTAGTTGTAACACAAATATTTACAAATATAGATTCAGTAAATTTAAAACTTATAACCACTTATTATATATAAAAAATTATTATTAAGAAACCAATATCATATATTAAATCAAGAATTTAAATATATTATAGCTTATGTTTAAATCACTTCTAAAATACATAAAGATTAAAGATAATCTTTTATACAAATATTTATTAGTTCTGATTTTTTTTAAAAAATTAAGTTTTTTTTAGTATATTATTATTATGTTTTTATTCTGTGGTTGCAAATTGAACTTCTTCTTGATAATTTTTATTTGTTACTTTATATATTTTTTGTATTGCTTAAATTGATCTTTATTAAATCTAATAGATTTTTTTGAATGTCTGTTTTTATTTTCAATTCTAAATTTTATTTTATGTTTAATTTTTATTTAATTTTATTTTATTAATTTTTTTTCAAGCTCCATATTATTTTATTATTGCCTTGATTGTAGTTTTATCACTAATCTTTCTAATTTCTTTAATTCTAAATCTTATTATATGATTTTTTTAATTGATTTTTTGATTTGAGATTAATATTTATTTTTCTCAATTGCTCTTTGACTTCCAATTCTATTTTTTATTTACTATAAAAAAAATTCAAATTACTTGTATTTGATATACTTCTATAACTGTTTTGGCTATAGTAAAAAATATATATATATATATATATATATATATATTAATGTTAATTGTTTTTCAATCACTTAATGATATTTTTAAAAAAAATCTTTTTATCCTACTTAATTACATATATATTGTTTCTAATTCATCCTCCACTTTTAGATTGTGCCTCTACTATTATGAAAAATCTTTTTAAATCTTTCTAAGCAAAGAAACATTATATAGATAGATTATTATACTTTATTATGATAGTTTTTTCTTTTCTTTTTTTTCTTTTTTTTAAAGAAAAAACTTCTGATGTCTCTTGAATAGATAATTTAATTTCACCTAGCTTTTTTGAGCTATTTAAGTTTTAAATGGCTTTTAAGTCATAATAGGATCCTATTTCTAAAAGATATATAGAGTTACTATTGCATAATATAATTATAAATTAGCATCTTCTTTGTTGTTTCTTTATTAGTTTTATTTTAAATAAAAGTGGCCATTATCAATAATTTCTTATTAGAACCAATAAAATACAAAAGAAATATTAAAGAAGGAACTAATGAAGTATGGCATTTGATGATTAAAGTTTAATTCATTAGTTTTAAGTACCAAAAGCCTATGTTTCTTGTTGATTGTCTTCTCTTAGTTTTTATTCATCCAAAGATTTAAAATCTTAATTGTATTTTTTTCAAATAATGATATTTACCTTTAAATATATATATATATATATATATATCTAAAATAATTTATATTTTGAATTTTTTTTTTGTTAATTTAAGAATTTACATCTATAATATCACAACTAAGATGGATGTAGTACTTCCCTAACCTTTTGAAACCTTATTACTTACTTAGCCACCATGGCTTTAAAAGGTGCAAACTTATAATTTCAATACTTTAATTCATTGCTTTATTTGTACTGCTGTTTGACATTAAAAATTAGAATCATAATTTAAATAATTTAATCCTTACAAGTACTTATTAGAAATTCGTTACAAGAATAAAAAAATAGCATAAATTTCTAAAAAAAAGAAAAAAAAGAAAAAAAAGAAAAAAAAACCTTCATAGACAACATAATTCTTCTTAAATTGCAAAGATTTATTTACAATCAACCCACTGCATTTTCAAATTATTTGGTGGCAACACTTAAAAATTATTAGAATTTTATAATATTTAGAATATAATAAGATGTAGGTTATGCATACACACATATACACACACATCCTTATAAAAAAATAAATAGAAACTTATTTGAATAAAAATTAATTTTAATGTTATTATAAAATATGTAATTAGATAATAAATGAAAATATATAATAAATTTATATATATATATATATATATATATATATATACACATTCACTTCTTATTATAATCAATTTCTTGAGATCAAAAAAATTGTTGACTATATAGTGTAGGTTAAATTTTGTGGTGCATATTAGAACTTACAAAATTGTTGAATATAACCCAAAGTTGACTCTAATGAGTTTGTCTATAAGAAAAGTTGATTGTACATATTTCAGAGAGGTTAAATTCTATTCATGGTACTAATTATAATAAAATTTGTCACTGGACTCCCAATTTAATCTATGCAAATACTTTGAAGCATCAATCAATAGCAATATAAGGATATATATATATTTTTAAACATATTTAAATATTTATTTGAAAACAAACTTGTATAATAAATTTTATTTTACTTAATATAAAAATAAGTGGATTTTAAATTAACTTTATTGTTTTATTATAATAGTATTATAAAAAAACATGTATTTTTAAATAAATTTTAAATTTTAATAAGCATAAAATTATAATATCATAATTTTTTTTATAACATTTAATTGAATAAGTGCTATGGAAGTTGTTTGCATGATAGGAGGAGGTGTTTGAACCCAAAATGTCTCAAATTTGATTAATTAACTTTAAATCCAAGATATTGCATCTTCTCGTGAGCTTCTCTTGCCTTTGGTGTCCATTCCTCAAGCTACACTCATCCACCTTTTCTCAGGCTTGAACTACTCTCCTCAGACTTCCAAATTAAGTAGACATGCTCAAACAAACAAAAAAAAAAATTACTCAAACTAATCAATCAAATGAACCCAGATTTCAAACTGATTGTATGTATATTCTACATGGTACATACCTTAAACCTGGAGATATCGACACAAAACATACAGATTAGTCGAGGGATTAAAGAGGGCGATAACTGTTTCCGTTAATGTACATTTGATACAAGCAGGTGGCCGAGTGAAGATTGCTGCATACCATTGGTACTCAGTTTTTGACCAAGTCGGATCATAAAAGCAAGAAGAAAGCGAACTGAGAGATTGGCTCGAATCCTATAGGTCAAATAACATAAATGCTACGAAGTTTTACATAATTTCCAATGAATTGGAACAAAAAAATTTATCTTGACACTGGTCCTAATACAGGCAACGGCCATAAGAGGAATGATTCTTCACTACAAATCGTGAAGACGAGGAGTTTCTCAACAATAACATTCTGGAACCACAATGCCCAAGCGGACGCGAGGAACGCCAACGGAGTTCATGAGATGCGGGGATAAGATGGGCGGCTCTGCTGCGGAGAATCTCTGTCACTACCCCTGAAGTGTTCCGATGCACTTTCATAATATCGCGATGTCTCGTCGCCACTGTCTGCAATGAACGGATGCACATCCTCAAGCATGGTAAGCACGTGCTTCATCTTTGGGCGCCGCTCAGGTGCACGATCGACGCATTGCATTGCGATCTGCAGCATGGCCACCAGCTCCCCTTCGATGTTCTGGTGCCGCATCAACGCAAGGTCGAAGACTTCCGCGGTCCATTGTTCCCGCACAACGCCTTGCACCCAACGTGGTAAGTCGATTACTTCATTATTGGCAGACGCTTGGTTGGGTGATTTCCCTGTCAGAAGCTCCAAAAGTATCTGCAAACCAAAGGCAGGGCTAGAATTTAAACACGATCTCATGAAACAGCCAGGGCTTGTGCATAATTTTGAGACATAAATAAAATAAAAATAAAATAAAATAGAGCTGGGTATCCCTCAAAGTGAGAATCTAACCACTCCAAAGCTAAAGACATCCGACTTCTGTGTCAATCTTCGCGATGTGGAGTTCTCAGGCGCTCGGTAGCCAGCTATTTTAGATGTACTACTCGAAGCACTAAACAGGTGCACTAGCCCAAAATCAGAGATGCATGCTTCAAGATCTCTATTGAGCAGAATGTTGGTGGATTTGATGTTTCCGTGCGCAAAATTGGGACCGCCGCGTGCATGCAGGAATGCAAGTGCTTTCGCAGCTCCAATTGCAATCTTTATTCTGGTCAGCCAATCCACCGATGCACGACTGTTGCTACGTTGATTTCCTGGCAAGCGCAACGAACAAGACGGCCAGTGAAAGGTATTCAAAGCAAACGAGGTTGAGCTCCAAAACAAAGATACTGAAAAAAGTGGCTTGGCTACAGAGCATCAACTTGGTCACTTACCATGCAGAAGAGCAGCGAGACTGCCCATGGGCATGAAGTTTGAAACCAAGAGCTTCTCATCACTGGAAAAGTAATAAGCTCGGAGCGGCACTAAATTCTGATGATGTAACTTTCCTACAATCTGAATCTGAGCCTCAAATTCCTTTCTGTCGCTGGACACATTCTTCAGCCTCTTCACCACCACAGCGGTCCCATCCTCCAAGACCGCCTTGTAAGCTGTCCCCAGAGAACCCTTGCCCAAGACCTCTGCCGAAGCCTGGAACAAGTCTTCGAGGTCAAACGAGACTGCGGAGAAGGAAACTAGTCCACGGGTCCCCTGCTTCTCCACATCTGCACAGGAATAGCGTTCTTCTTGCACTCCATCCCCTTTCTCGACCGTCTTCTGAAGAGAAGAATGCCGAGACCTCTCACGAGAACCCTCACCCTTGTCAGATACTGCGGCATCCAGCAGACCTTTATTTGGTCTGCACAGACACACAAGGAGACATGCAAAAAGAGCCAGAATGGCAATTCCCCCCAGGATGATTCCCACGATGGCACCTACTGATAAGCGCTTGCTTCCTGACGCTGGAGACGATACCAAGGGGCCCGGGGAAGCAGACGGACAAGCTCCGTCGAGAGGACACCCAGACAAGCCAGGATTCCCGAGGAAGGACGCAACAGGGAACATGGACAGAGATTCTGGAATCGGTCCAGACAAATTGTTATTGGCCACATCAAACACCGTCAAATTCGCCAAATTGAATGGTGGAATTCTACCGGAAAAAAAATTGTCGCGGAGATTAAGTAAGCTGAGCTGAGAGTATAACCTCAACACTTCTGGAATGGTGCCATTCAACCTGTTGGCAAAATAAACACATCCCACACATGCAGTCATGAGCTTCACCTCTACCTTCAGAAAATATGAACCACATCAAGACATATCCAATGCCCCAACGTAACATAATAAAGCAGCTTAAATGTAACGCAAGCAAGAATTGTCAAAATAAATGCTCACCTATTGTATTCCAAGCTCAAGTGAGTTAGGCGCGGCATGAGTCCAGTAAGATTTTGTATTGGACCAGAGAAGTCGTTTCCGGAAAGAAACACTGATTCCAAGTTGTTGCATCTTCCAAACTCGTCCGGAAACGATCCTACTAACTGATTATTCCGCAGGCTCACCACCCGAAGCTCCGAGATCAAGCTCAAGCTCCCTGGCGGTATAATTCCCCGAAGTCCTGCGCCTGGCAACCGCAACTCTGTGACTCGATTCTCGAAGCAGGTTATGCCTCTCCAAGCGCACACCGAAGTTGCATTGGTCCATTTCAGCTGCGTTCCTTGAGGATCGTGGTAGTTACTAAAGATGAGAAGTGCCCTAGTGTCAGCTTCTAGATCTTGCCCTGCGACCGAAACAACACTGAGGATCACTAACAAAATACTTGTCAGCGTCCCGATACGCCTCGACTCGGATGCACACTTTATCTCAGCCATTTCTAGCGATTGGAGCGACACACTCACAAGCCTGCACAGAAAGGGAAGATCATCGTGAATCCCTACTTTTGCAGAAAAGTAGGAGCTGCTCGCAAACAAGAGATGATATCCATTTGACTCTACATTCACCAGCGTGGATCCTCCCGTCTGTCTAACATATCCAAGTATTTTCACCGACTTCAACCTCACTGAATAATAATCTATCCCTCCTGGTAGAAGCCCAGCATTTCACCGAAAGTCTCCGCAGCACAAAATGGGACACGACGCAGTTCTCACAGCAATGCATTCTTCAGGCGCGAGAAATCTCCTCACACTCTCTCAAAACCCAACCCTACCAACACCTCATGATAAAGAATCTCGCCCAGCGATGAAAAGTCCCGACCCTACTCCCCACTTAGATGCGTCGCATTGCATTGCCTGAGCAGATTCCATCTCTCAGATGCACGCAAACGCTGCAACTAGAGCTGCAACAGTCACCGAATTCATCAAAAACACGTCGTGTACACTCATCAACGTAAAACACTCTGCATATCCTCTCAGGAGCCGCTCTCCGCCGTGACTGACTCCCACGAGCAGCGTCGGCCTGGGTGTGAGACAAAACGCGCTACAGCGATTCAACAGCCATTTAAGGGTCCACGGCTGTTTCCAAATCCAGCAGACTGTGCGGAATCAGTCGGCGCGTGGTGCCTGCAGATAGCTTCCGTCTCCTAAATCGCGCCTGGAAGTGAACGATGATCGACAGAAAAACGAATTCAGATTCTTCGAGCAATCCATCCATGCCCTAGTCCTTTTGAAGTGAATAGCGAAGGATTGTTCACCACGCTTTAGACGAATCCAAATCATTCGGAATGCGAGCTTTCGCGCTGCAACTCTCGGCGCTGGTGCGTCGATCCGAGGCGGCAACATGCCGCAAATTTTATTCATCCTTTTAGCGGACGACATTCGTTCGTTCGTTCGTTATTTAGTGTTCCCGCATAATTATTCTAATTCAGCTCAATTGTCATTGTCTGCTTTGATGTATTTTGATATGGTGTGTACCCTCTTTGATTGATTTTTAAGTGGGTGCAACATACCATTTATTTTACAAAAAAGGGGAAGTAGCTATCAAAACCTGGTGATGTGGTTTTCATCAATTAATGGTATTTTCAACAAATACCTTGAGCACAAATGTATACAACTTTTTGATAATAAGTGGAAGGTGGTTGCCATGCAATTGTTTGTTGCATAGAAAAGAATCGTGGTATATTGCATTTGTAGTACTTGCTTTGGTAGATTCATAGTTTAAATTGAAGGGATTTTTTTTCTTGTATAATACTTAAATGCTACTAAGAATGAATAGTTATTCAATATAAATTTATGATCAAAGTTGTTATTTGTACTTGTTTTACTTGAAATGTATTGTACAAATAATTAAAAGAAGATTTGTAATATGTTTTAAAACACATCATGAATCTAAAATATCATATTCATGTCTATATTTAATTTCTATATATTTTGGTAACAAAAATTAATTTAATTAATTTAATCCAACAAAGTATGTATATATATATATATAGAAAAAGAGAGAAATTTAAGCTATTGAGGATTGCAATCTCTAACACATCTCTCTATTCCTTTGTTTGTATGTTCCCAAGTTCCCTTGTTTCTATATTCTCATATTCCCTTGTTTTCTTGTTTCTATATTCTCAAGTTCCTTAATGCCCAAGTTCCTTTGTTCCCAAGTTTTTTATGCTCTTTGGTTCCTATATTTCCATGTTCCTCCATTCCCAAGTTCCTTTGTTTCTAAGTTTTCTAAGTTTCATGCATTCCCTTCTCCATAGCTAATCAAAAGACTTCTTTGTATCTTTGAGTTATACCTAAGTTATTGTATATAATAGATATATATATATATATATATATATATATATATTGTGCATTTGTCTAATAAATCTCAAAGTTTTAATCCATTAATATCTGTTTGTTTCTTTTAAATAAAATTATTTCATTACATTTGTTAATATTTTTTTAAATCTATTTTTTAAATTAATGTAAGATAAAAATGTTTGTTTTATATATTATACTAATTAATTTAATATCCTCATTCTAATTATTTTAATAAGTCTTGGAATCAAAAGATTTAAAATTTTGATACAAAACTTTTATTTGATAAAATTATCTTCATAAGATGATTTTAGCAAAAAATAAATAAATAAAGTTATTATTATAACATGATAAGGAATATTTTAGATAAAGTGA